TCTTTAGCTAACTGATCCGCTCTTTCATTACCCTTAATTCCAGAGTGACCCTTAATCCAAAAGAAATCAATATTACAATTTGAATCATTAATTAAATTCCATGTATCCTTTTATAAATAGATGGTTTCCTCATGTTTTTAAGGCCTTCCAAAACTGATATGCTATCACTATACAATTCACACTTATCTATCTTTTCTTTAATAATATATTTAATAGCACTATTCACTGCCAACAATTCCGCATGATAATTATCACATAACGCACCTAATTTAATTTTTTCAAAATAAACTTCAACACCATCACTAAAAACAACAAACGCAGCACCAACACAATGCTTACACTTAGCACCATCCGTAAATAATTGAATTCCTTTATTCGGTACATTTTTCCTTAACTTAAAATCCATAATATCCCTTTTCGCAGGATGAATATCCGTTAAGAATTTAGCTTCCTTCTCTATTTTATAAGATTAGGTCGAGGGACGTTCGTAGGGAGGGAAACAAGGATAGATCAAATGTTATTTTAGAGGTATCGCCGGGTATAAGGAGAAGGTTGATTGGAACGGGCAGGATTTTTGTGAGAAGCTTTTCGTACAAGGTGAGTGACATTGTGTTGGTGTTGCGTTGCAACAAGTGTTTGGCTTTTGGTCACGTTGCGAGGTTTTGTGAAAGGGCTGTAGTATGTAGAAGTTGTGGAGTGGAGGGACACGTCGGAAAGGATTGTAAGAATGGAGATAAACCTAAGACTTGCCCGAATTGCAAGGTTAGGAGTAGGGCCGCCGGACACTCGGTGCTTGATACGGGGTGTCCGGAGTATAGGAGGGCGTTGGAAATGAGTAGATTTGTTTGGCTGCGCTTGTAGATAAAACGTAATTTACGGTGAAATTTTCGCGATTTAAAGCGAGTTTGTTTTGGCCAACGTTAAGGACCTTATTAGTGTTAGTTTAAAGTTAGTTAGGTGTTAATTAGTTAAGTTTTGTGGAAGTTATTAAGTGTTTAGTTAATAAAACAGCGTGTTTTTCGTCTTAAGGTCGACAATCGCTCACGGCCCTCGGGTCAGTGTGTGACGGAAAAGGTCCGTGTTGGACGAAGAAGGCCGAGAAAATGACTCCTTGGAAATTTCTTGGCCTGACGTCATCGGGACAAAATATACCGGGTGAGCGATCAAAATTTATTATATTGGGTGGCGCGTGAAAGATTAGGCCGTAACTCCTAAACGCTAATAGAACTTTTCTAAGGGTTTTTTTGCCCCCCTTAAACCACCCCGGGATAAGGGAGGCGAACATTTTTGGGTGGGTGCACTTCCGGTCAGACCGGAAGTGAATACATTAGTTTTAGATAGAACAAAATGAATTTTTGTTAATTATTCAATAACTATAAGAAATATACCCCACAAACTATATATATTTGTTATCAGAAGAAAATAACAAATTATTTTAGGTCATAGCCAACTATGGTTTCCATTTAAAAAAATAAGTTACGTCTAAAATCTCGAAAATAAAAGATGGGAAAAAAAATCTTCCTACACCACTGAATTCTTCGTAAAAAGTTGCCCATATAATGTTTTATTTATAAAACTCCATCGTTGATAATAAGTGAGATATTCGCGATTGTCGTTTTCGCAAAATTTTCACTTTTTGTCGATAGGGCGAAAACAAAAGACGATAGCTGTTCGGAGTTTTCGGCATTAGCATTTTCTCGAAAAACGAGATCATGACATGTAAGCTACTTTTTTTTCTATCTCTTTTAGTTTCGGAGATAGCCTATGCGGACATCGAAATTGGGACACCCTGTACATCGACAGCAAAGCGTGTCGTGTCGTGGACTATGTTTTAGTTACGAGGTGCTTCAAGTGCCTCGATTTTGGGCACATTGCGCGTGTTTGTGACAAAGAGGAGAGGTGTCGGCACTGCGCGGAATGCGGTCACGCGGAAAACGAGTGCAAAAACAAAGGTAAACCTCCGAAATGCGGGCTGTGCGCGAATAGGGGCAGACCGGCGGAACACCCAACCACATCCAGGGACTGTCCGGAGTTTACGAGGCAGATAGCATTGCGGCGTGATAAAACGGACTACTTTCAAGATTAGGGTCCTACAGCAAAACTGTCAGCGGTCAAGGGCGGTGATGGGTGAAGTGGAGAGAGTGGCGTACGAGCGGGACCTGGACGTCTTGCTCCTTCAGGAGCCGTACCATGCGGTGAATTTCAACCGCGAGTTCCGCGGTTTCGGTCGAGTCATAAAGTTCGAGGGTGTCGCGAGTGGTGCGTGGGTCGTGGTGACAAATGATAACTTCGTTGTCAGTGTTGTGTCGTCGTTAACGGACGCGAATTGTGCCGTCGTGATGTGCGAAACCGAATATGTGCGTGTAGTGTTGGTCTCGCTTTACTGTCAGTACTCTGACAGTATTGACGTGTACCTCACAAAATTGGACGCGATTCTCGGGGTGTAATTTAGTGATTGGTTTGGACGCAAACGCGAGGGCGCCAATGTGGTTTGATCGTGTATTGGACGATAACGGGGTGAAGATGGCTGACTTCATCGTTGCGAGTGACCACGGTTGTGAAGTTAGCCATAGATTTTAAAATCGAAAAATGACCGATTTCTGCAACTGAAAACGCAAATTAAAATTAATATTTGAGTTTAGCACTCTTAGAACAACCCCTATACAAAAATTTACGGGGGGGTGTTTTCTTTTAAGGGCGTAAAAAAATCCCAAAGTTGTAAACATCGCATGCGCGCGAATACTGTTCGACTAAAATCGAGAAATGACCAATTTCTGCAAGTCGAAACGCAAATTAAAATTCATATTTGAGTTTAGCGGTCTTAGAATAACCCGTTTACAAAAATTTACGGGGGGGTGTTTTCATTTAAGGGAGTAAAAAAATCCCAAAGTTGTGAACATCGCGTGCGTGCGTATACTGTTCGACCAAACTCGGAAAATGACCAATTTCTGCAACTCGAAACGTAAATTAAAATCCATATTTGAGTTTAGCGGTCTTAGAATAACCCGTATACAAAAATTTACGGGGGGGTGTTTTCATTTAAGGGAGTAAAAAAATCCCAAAGTTGCGAAAATCGCGTGCGCGCTTGGAAATTCAGAGTTTTTGATTATTAGGTTGAAAATATGTAAGAGCGGATGTGAGAGTGTCGGGGCGCAGTCGTTGACTAAAAATGTAGGAATCTCATCTGGACCAATTGTAGCCTTTGCCTTGAATTTTTTGAAAGATTCAACCATTTCGTCGTAAGTGACTTCGGAGATACCAAAGGTGACAGAATTAGTATCATAAACAGCGTGATCGTTACCAGTAGGTTACCAAATGATGCAGGACAGTACATAGCCTCAAAATGATCGGCAAATAAGCTAATTACTGTTGGCATATCGGACACACTTTCATCGGCCCACTTAAGAGAGCCTGGAGATCTTATATTGTTTCTGCTTATGTTAACAAAACGCCAAACGTTGTTTGGTTCTTTTCTTATGTCCCTCAGAGATTTGACATAAACTTGTGCGATGATATCTGCAATGAGTTTTTCTATACAATTTATGGTGGTGTTTTTTAATCTAAGCATTCTTATTAGGTTAATGGAATACAGGTTATTTCGACCTTGCATGCTTGCCCTCAGATTTAAGTACGTGAGCGTCCAGGTCGTTGTATAATGCTTCATAAAAAACATTACAGTATTGTTCAACCGATGGTAACGTAAATAGATGAGTCCAGTCGATGTTAAGCAGTGCCTCGTACATGTCAGGCAGATAGGATAACATCTCGATCTATCAAATGTGTAGGCACCGATACCGCAATAATAAGTAGTAATACCGATTGGTAATTATCTTCTCGTACCAATGTAAAGTGTGAGTGTTTAATTTGAAACTCAAGTTTGAGGAAGCAAGTATCAAATCAAGAGTTCTATCAATGATATTCATTACATTATTTAATTGCAGAAAGTCATTATTACTTCAATATTAAAATTACCCATGACTATGGTAACCAAAGACATATCCAACATTGATTCAATGTAATCGAAGGTGTAACTATACATACATTCCTCCAGGTGTAACAGGTGGGAAATAGCAGACAACAATGTTAAAAGCCGATTTCGTCTTTTTAAAGTCAATCCGTATAGCTTTCAAGTCAATTGATTCAATAGGACAGGAAGCAATCATGAAATTCGAAGTAGCAACTCCGGAATTAACAGTCAGTAACATCTCTCCACCCTTATGGAAAGATCGATCACATCTAAAAACGTCATACCTGTCTGGAAAGATCTCGTAGTCTAGGACGCTCTTGTTGACCCAAGTTTCACTGAGAGCAATAATATCAAAGTCCTATGCATCGACCGAAGTAAAAAATTTGTGTTGAGAGTATATGTTGTACTCTGTCCGTTGGGAAGTAACTAGTTTTTCTTAACAATTCTCGAACATCCATTAATGAACTGTATTCTTAAATCATTTTCACCGTATTCAAAATCCGCATCAAACAAGGGAACTCATTGGAAGTAATTTAATTGGTCCTGTTTGAATTCTTATAATTTTTATTACTTAGTTTTAGTTTTCAATTCGAATTTTCCTTTTCGTTCATAATTTCGTTCCTTTGTATGTTGTCTTTGTATTCATGTTACGCGTGCGTCTTGTCAAAAACCTGTATATTTGTAAAAATACCTGTATCGTGTCAGTCAGTCGATTAAAAGTCTTGAAAAGAGCGTGAATTTCGTCATTTTATTGAACACATCAAGTTATAAGTTTTGTGGAGTTTCGAGAGAGAAAAAAAAGAGGATATTTTCGTTTAATTCGATAAGTATAAAACTTTCAATTTTTGAATTATTCTAAACATTTGGTCCTTCGAGCCGGATTCTCGAATAAACGCGAAAATAAATTCGTGGAGGTGCGTGCAATTGTACCGGTTCAGTTTCAATAACAATTTCGATTTATTTTAAGATTAATTTTTCGGTGCGCAATTTCTTATTCTTTTTCGTTTTTTTTTTTAACAAGACTTTACTTAAAATGGCTGAAACCCAATCCAAAACTGAATTGAATGCGCTTTTCGAGCAACAAAATGACTTTTACGGCTCTATTTCTCGCGTCGTGGAAAATACAAAAAAAATGGGTAAAAATAATTGGACATTAAATAATCTTCAAAGTCGTCTCGATCGACTGGAAGCAACTTGGAATGAATTTTTTAATCTTCATAAACGGTTAATTCAATATAAAGTCGAATATGCTGATACCGTGTATTTTTCGGACGATTTATTTTCGGCTTGTGAAGAGACATATATTGAATCTAGAGCATTTCTTCTTGATTCTATTCGGCCGTTTAAGGGATCTTCTTCAGCGGGATCGGTTCGCAGTGTTAGGTCCGTGCAATCAGCTCCACCACCAATCGTCGATCCCTCAATACAACAACCGGTTCCACCGATTGCTACGGCGACACCGTCGTTTTCGTGTTCAAGACAATTACCACAAATAAAATTGCCTACTTTCGACGGTAACTACAATAACTGGCCCCAATTTTATGACTTATTTTCCTCAATGATTTATTCAAACGCTGGAATTTCTAATGTTGAAAAATTTCATTATTTGAAAATGAGCCTTGTTAACGAACCATCACAATTATTAAAAAATTTGTTGGTAACTAATGACAACTTTCAACGTGCGTGGACATTGCTGATCGAACGATACGAAAATCGTCGAGTTATGGTGGATGCGCAATTGACCTTACTGTTGTCAGCACGTTCGATTAAATCTGAATCAGCTTCCGAATTGAGGAGACTTCTCGGGGAAGTTAAAGAGGCTTTAGGAGCATTAGAATCTTTGGGATGTCCTATAAAATCTTGGGATAATATTTTAGTATATTTGCTTGTACGTAAACTTGACACAGAGACGGCCAAGGATTGGGAAAAATCAATTAGTAGCTATCGAGATCCTTCAACCTTCGACGAATTGGAGAAATTTCTCGTTCACCGCATCTACACTCTTGAAGCTATTGAAAAGTTACCTGGAAATGGTAAAAAATTTTCCCAAACATTCCCTAAAAGTGTTAATTTCAAAGTACACAATGCTTCGGCTACCGGTTCGGGCTGTTCGCTATGCGGTGCTTCTCATTACATTTCGGCTTGTCATGATTATCTCTCGCGGAAACCAACACAACGACTTGACTTCGTAACTTCTAAAGGACTTTGCTTTAATTGTCTTGGACCACACATGTTCAAAAAATGTCGCGTTTCAAAACGATGTCGTTTCTGCAATAAACCTCATCATTCAACTCTTCATGAAGCTCCCCCAGAGACACGTATGCTTCATTCTAAAGATGCTGCGTCAAAATCAAATGTACCAACAAGTCAACCGTCAAGTCATTTCGTTCACTCTCATCATCATCACATTCCAGTGCTTCTCGCAACAGCATTGGTTCGAATCGTATCACCCCGTGGTGATTCGATTATCGTTCGTGCGTTGATCGATCAAGGTTCGGAGGTGTCTTTTATTGGTGAAACTCTAGTGCAACGGCTTCACCTGCAACGGCGTTCCGCGAGTATTCCGATCACCGGGATTGGATCAAAACGTACGTGCGTTTCTAATGGCGTCGTGTCGATGCAACTATTTTCGCGTCTAAATCCATTTATCTCTTTTGAAGAAGAAACATTAATTATACCGAAATTAACGTCTTATGTGCCTCAAAAGTGCACCGATCGGTTGCCGTCCGAGCTAAGCGACCTTCCCTTAGCTGACCCAGAATTTACTTCGGACAGAAAAATTGACTTGATACTCGGAGTGCGTTTTTATTCCAAAATAATACAAAGTGGAGTTAGAAAGAGTACCGATGGTCTTTTGATTGCTCAACAAACAGCTCTGGGCTGGGTACTTTCCGGCGCGTTGTCTAATCAACCTTCTTCTCATGTCGGTGCATACGGTTTTCAGTGTTCTATCGATCTTGAGTTCCTTGATATCATGCAACGCTTTTGGAAACAGGAGGATGACACTCTTAATGTTTCGCGTCTTTCATCGGACGAACGCGAGTGCGAAGAACATTTTAATCGAACTCATCAACGGGATTCTGACGGTCGATTTGTGGTTCGGTTGCCATTTCGCGAGTCACCAAATAAACTCGGAAACTCCTACTCGGTCGCTGTTGGATCTTTTCAAAGATTAGAATTAAGATTCGCGAGAAACGAACAGCTTCGTATAGAGTATGGCAATTTTATGCGTGAATATCTTTCACTGGGACACATGCGTCAAGTTCCAGTAACTTTAAGCTCTCCAAATTATTATTTGCCTCATCATGGAATTGTTCGTGAGACAAGCTCTACTACGCGATTGCGGGTGGTTTTTAACGGGTCGCAGCTAACTTCGACGGGAGTCTCGCTTAATGACTGTCTTTATACAGGACCGAAACTATAAAGCGAATTGATAGATGTTTTGACGCGATGGAGACGACACCGAGTGGTTTTTGCCTGCGATCTCGAAAAGATGTACCGGCAGATTAAAGTTCATAATGACGATTTACCATTTCAACGCATTGTTTGGCGTGAAGACGCTACTGAAGATCTTCAAAGCTTTGAACTTACCACTGTTACATACGGGCTTTCTTGCGCGCCTTACTTAGCGATTCGTTGCATTCGTCAAATCGCGGACGAACATTCTTCTAGTCAACCTCTCGGCACAGCGGTATTTTTGCGGGATACTTATGTTGACGATATCCTCTCTGGCGCGTAAGTGGACTTCGAATCATTCCGAATCATTAACGAATCTATCTCCTGAACTGATCGCAAAGAGTAACACTCTAGATATTGATAACGATCACTCTCCCCGCGCTCTCGGGCTTCTTTGGGACAACGTCGACGATCAATTTTTGTTTCGTTTGAACGATTTTCGAGAATTTTCGGGTCAGGTTACAAAACGTTCCATTCTCGTTTATTGCCCGACTATTCGATCCTCTAGGCTGGCTATCTCCGCTGATAGTTACAGCAAAAATCTTCATGCAGGATCTATGGATCCGAAAGCTTGATTGGGACGAGTCGTTACCAAATGACTTAGCTCTAAAATGGACTTCTTTTCTAAACGATATTCGCACTATTCCAGCAATTCGAGTACCACGGTGGCTTGGAATAGAACAAAACGTTACGTCCATTGAACTACACGGTTTCGCGGATGCTTCTAATGCTGCCTTTGGGGCGGTCGTTTACCTTCGTGCGTTTGGGGATTCGGATATTCGAGTTTCGATTATCTCTTCTAAAACGAAAGTGGCACCGTTGAAAACCGTTACCATACCGCGGCTGGAATTGTGCGCGGCTGTGCTTCTTGTGCGGTTGGTGAGACGCGTGATCCGTGCTTTAGACTTACAAAGTGTCCCCGTTCATCTTTGGAGTGACTCCACAGTAGCACTTTCATGGATATGTAGTCATCCCGGCAGGTGGAAGGACTTCGTCCGAAACAGAATAATCGAAATTCAGGACCTGCCTCAAGCTAAATGGTCTTACGTTCCAAGTCAGGACAACCCTGCCGATCTTGCATCACGAGGAGTCCCCATTCGTCAACTCCAAGGCGAAACACTATGGTGGACAGGACCTTCTTGGCTGTCTCTACCTTCATCATATTGGCCTTGCATTCGATCAACAATATCATCGGAGGCAGATCGCGAGCGACGACGTTCCATTCCAGTGACTCATACAGCATCTCCTGAGCACGGCTGGAACTTAAAGAATAAATATTCAACGTTGAATAAACTTCTTCGCATCACCGCCTGGTGTTTCAAATATTTTAAAAAATCTAAATCTTGTTCTGTTGTAGGCATTCTTACTCCCGATGAAATTAACCATGCAATGATGTTTGGGTCCATGAATGCCAGCAGCTTTATTTTCCTAATGAAATTCGAACTCTTCAGGACGGACAAACAATTCAGAGATCCAGTCCGTTGTACAAGCTTACTCCGTTTCTGGACGGTGAGGGATTCTTGCGGGTTACGGGCCGTCTTCGGTTTGCGTCACTGGACTGGGACGAGAAGCATCCCCTCATTTTGCCCAAGGAATCTAGGATAACTAGCTTGGTAATCGATAGTCATCATAGAGGGACATTACATGGAGGTACGCAGCTGACTCTGTCTTCATTGAGACGTCGTTTCTGGATAGTCGGCGGCCGTGTTCCTGTTCGATCTTTCATTCAGCGCTGTATAATATGTGCCAGACATCGAGTAGAAGCGAGTCAACAACTTATGGGACAACTGCCTCCTTCAAGAGTCACGCCATCTAGACCGTTCACACATACCGGAGTTGACTACGCAGGGCCATTTCAGCTTCGAACATTTCGGGGTCGGAATGGTAAGATATATAAAGGATATCTGATACTTTTTGTATGTTTAGCAACATCAGCTATTTATCTCGAAATTTCAACGGACTATACAACTTCGGGATTCTTGGCGGCATACAAGCGTTTTTCTGGGCGTCGTGGTCTTTGTAGATGCCTATACAGCGATTGCGGTACCAATCTCATTGGCGCAGACCGAGAGCTGCGATCATTGTTTTCTGCCGCTTCCAAGGAGTGGAGACACATGGCCGGTGTTCTGGGTGATGACGGTACTCAGTGGCGATTCAATCCTCCTGCTGCCCCGCACTTTGGGGGAAAGTGGGAGGCTGGCGTTCGTTCTGTCAAGACGCATCTAAAGAAAATTGTTGGTTCGACGCTGCTCACCTACGAAGAGTTTTCTACCGTCCTCATACAGATCGAGGCAGTTCTGAACTCGAGACCTCTTTGCTCACTATCCGAAGATCCCAACAACTATGAAGCATTGACTCCTGCTCATTTTCTGGTTGGATCAGCGTTAAATGTTGTTCCAGAGCCATCTCTAGCAGACGAAAATAAGTCTCGACTTTCACGTTGGCAACTTCTTCGAAGAATGGTGGAAGATTTCTGGAAGCATTGGCAGAAATTCTATTTGCAGTCTCTTCAAAATTCAACAAAATGGTATGAACAACGAAATATTCCTTCGATTGGTAGCTTGGTGCTTGTTAAAGATGAAAGACTCCCCCCTGCAAAATGGATGATGGCGCGAGTTCAACAGTTGCATTCCGGTAGTGATGGCAATATTCGTGTGGCTACTATAAAAACAGTTATAGTAGCCAATTAGTCATTTTTCGATTTTGGTCGAACAGTATACGCGCGCACGCGATGTTCTCAACTATGGGATTTTTTTACTCCCTTAAATGAAAACCCCCCCCCCCGTAAATTTTTGTATACGGGTAATTCTAAGACCGCTAAACTCAAATATGAATTTTAATTTGCGTTTCGAGTTGCAGAAATTGGTCATTTTTCGATTTTAGTCGAACAGTATTCGCGCGCACGCGATGTTTACAACTTTGAGATTTTTTTACTCCCTTAAATGAAAACACCACCCGTAAATTTTTGTATAGGGGTTGTTCTAAGAGTGCTAAACTAAAATATTAATTTTAATTTGCGTTTTGAGTTGCAGAAATCGATCATTTTTCGATTTTAAAATCTATGGATACAATCTATGGCTAACTTCACAACCGTCGAGTGACCTCCTGCTAGCGAATAGACGCTCTGACCTCTCGACGTTCTCCACTGTAAATGGGGAATCTAATATAGATCTTACCCTTGTTAGTGCGGGCGCTGCGCGGATGGAGGATGGCTGGGGAGTTGCTCCGTTAACGTCCTCGGACCATCGGGGAATCCTCTTCAGTCTGGTGGGGACAACTCCGGGAAATCTGAAACAAAAAAACGACACAGTTATTACCACAATAAAGAGAGTTAAGTGGGATACAGTTGAGGAGTTGGTCAGGCGCGAGTTTGCGGAGAACAGAGTGCGGGAAATGCTTGGTAAGGGATCGGTTGACAGTGTAGTCGATGCTTTTACTGGTGTGGTTCATGCAATCGTAAATGAGACTATAGTTCGGAAACGCAGAGCGGGAACCAAATGCTGGTGGACCCACGAATTGACAAGGGAGCGGGCGTACGTTAGAAGAGTGAGGCGGGAGGTTCGTAGAATTGCAGTGGACCCGGCACAGGCGCAGTGACTACCAGTAATACGAAGTAACTATACAGAGGTCCTCAATGGTTACAACCGGAAAATTCTTGACGCCAAAAGGAGCAGCTGGGATAGTTTTGTGGCTGCGAATAGACAGGATCCTTGGGGGCTGGTGTACCGGGAGGTGATGGAGAGAGTCCCCATCAGATACATCTCATCATCGGTGGTGTGTGGAGGATCAGAACACGTGGAGTGGGCCGAGTCGGCAACCGCGTTGATTCCGGAGCTTGTGCGGTGCGATGAGTGCGAGCGCGGGGTTGTTGAGAGCGAGGTGTATAGTGCTCATGTGCCGGATGAGTGGATCGGTATACGCGATTTGAATGCCGCGGTACAAAGTACAAAGGGGGGGAAATCTCCGGGCCACGACGGGATTTACCCGGAATACGTAAAGTTCATCTGGGCTGTGAAACCGGGAGACCTGAAAGACATCTTTAACAGGTGCTTGGAGGAACGATGTTTTCCGAGGCAGTGGAAACGGACACAGGCGGTAGTGCTATTTAAAGATCAAAGAAAGCCCGCGTCTGACCCAAAATCTTACAGAATCATTTCCCTGCTACCAGTAATGGGTAAGATTCTTGGACGCCTTGTTTGGAATAAAATTGAGCGTCACTATGAGGCCAACGTTGGTCATAGTCTGCGCCAGTTCGGGTTTAAGGCGGGATCAGGTACACTGGACGCATTAAGTGCGGTGAGGCGGCTTGTGATGAACGAGCAAAAGAAATATATGCTGGAGGTGTTAGATATAAGATATAGATATAAGTGCGGCATTCGATAATTTGAAGTGCCTATTCCCAGACGCCTGAGGCTCGCGCAGGTCCCTGACAACATTTATGAAATCACAAGGGATTATTTTCGTGATAGGGTTGTTGCCTTGTCTTCGAGTGTGTGTTCTGTGGAGCGGCAAATGACGCGGGGCTGTCCTCAGGGGTCGGTGCTGGGGTCGAGGTTTTGGAATGTGGTGCTTGACGGGTTGCTCGAGGCTGACCTACCAGGCGTGGACATTGTGGCTTACGCTGATGACATCCTGTTCCTGGTCAGTGCGGAGAGCCGACTGGAGCTGGAGAGGCTGGGTGCTGAGGCGCTGGAGCGTGTTAACGTATGGGTTGAGGAGAATGGACTAACCATATCGAGGGCGAAAACACAAATGATCCTGCTCAGAGGCCATATGACAAGAAAACCAACACTGAGGCTTGGCGGGGATAAGATACAATACTGCAAACAAGTTAAGTATCTAGGCGTTATTATTGACGAGCGGTGGAGTTTTATTCCACATTTAGTACACGTGAGGGAGAAAGTTATGGTGTTTGTTGAGAGACTCAGGAGTGTTATGAGGTGTGAATGGGGACTTGGGAGAAAGGCT